ATCCCTACGGTCGGGAAGAGACGCGAGGAAGCTGACATGGCAGTATCGCATGTGCGGGATGGGAGAGGAGAGGTTGCCGAGAATTGTATGGGAGGCGAAGTGGGCAAACAAAAAGAGGGGTAGGCAACCCACGGAATGGGTCAAGGTTGTAGAGGACGTTTGGAAGGGACTCGACATCGACGAAGATGAAATGCTGGAAACGGAGGGTCTAAAGGGTTTAAACGTGATGCGGCTTCGAATGCGAAGACCGTGTTCATGTAGTCGCGGAATGTCCGTGGTACAAGGAGAGGGAAGTGTACGTGACTTAGCTGGGAAAAATAGATGGGACGTCAGGGAGATGTTTGGGGCATGAAATAGAGAGGAAAGGACGGTAGCGGTACTGGGGCATGGGAAGTGGGTTGGAAAGGCGGGAAGGGATATCGTTAGGATAGACAGACTAGGGAAGACATTTTTGAGCCACCTTTGGCAAAGTAGGAAGGAACGATTGGCCATCGGTGATCGGTCCTGTNAAAAACGCCCCCCCCCCCCCCCCCCCCCCCCATAATGCTTCCGTCTTTTGACCTTCAACAGCTACAGCAAGGCATGCAAGACGAAACGCCCCTGTCTGCCCTCCCGATGCTCTTGTCTGCCTTCTCCCCCCTCCACTCCGAATAGCGTTACCCTTCGCTGGCTGTCTTCCCCTCACCGCTGTGTCGCTCGTACCTCTCATTTTCGGTGAACGTTCGTCCGTCCCAAGGTTAAGGAGCGGTTCTCTTTGTTCGGAGGGAGGATGTCCGCCGAAGTCCCGTTCACCGGTGACTTGCCTCCTAGGATAGGCCACAGGAGGCGCCGATCCGGGGGAGAGGGGAGCATAGGGGGGACCAGCGTCGGCAGCGGCAGCAGCGCGGGGCTCGGCTCCATGGTAGGGCTCACCGTATGGCGATGACAGCGCACTGCTGCTCGACGACGGTGGGAGATTAGGTTAGGGGGATTGGTTATAGGGAGGCGTTTCTCCTCGGCCGGTCCCCTCGGCCTACCTATTGGACGAGCAGTGGCGATCGCGGCAGTAGGACGGGGGGGGGTACGGGGCAGGCTTGTTTTCTAGTGATGGGGGAGCCGGGGGTGCGGCGGCGGGCATTGTTGTTGCTGCTGCCTTGTTTTGTGTTGTTGGTGTCCTTAAGCTGCACGCGCGTTGTCTCATTATTTACAGTCTCTGTTCCCCCCGCGATGATGTTCGTTGCGGGTTTGTTGAATCGCTTTGTTTTCTTGTCATGCTTCGAGGACGGACACGCGGTGAGGTAGAAACCACACCAGGTACCACTTGTTTTCTTTCGTCTTTTGTTTGCGCGTGCTTCCCTGCTTTGTAGGGATGCGAGGTCAATGGTCTAACGACTACGGCATGCACAAGTATGAGTACACCCCCCCCCCTTGGCCACTGGTTTTCCCCGTGGGGCAATCGCACCTGTCTGACTAGCTCCTTGATCCCTCTCCACCTCGTCACCACCGTGCCGAACAGCCCGAGGCCCATCGAACGAAATATTTGTCTGCTCGAAAGGGGGAACAAACGATGCCAGCAGCACGGTAGCGAGAGGGGTAAAACAAAGGACAAGAAACGCGAGGGTAAGCGTGGCGAGGACCAAGCAAACAAGCAGGTCGTAAGTGCACGAAGCCCACTGGCGGCGACAGGCAAGCAAGGCCCGGAGCGGAAAAAAAAATGTGTTGCCACTGGTGCGGTAATCTGCCCAGGTCGGTGCACCCGTTCACGCGCCGGCCGAGAAAGGCGGCAACAATTCGAGGCGCGAGGGCAAAGCGTTAACAATGGTCGCAAAGAGCCTCCCGACACTGCTGCCATGCATAGGGGGACCGCTGGGATGACTGACTGCTGCCACCACACGCATCGTTCGCGCGACCGCCTGCGTCTGTCTTGCCTGCCTGTCTGCTTGTCTGCCTGTCAATCTGCCAGTCTGTCTGTCTGCTTGTCTGTCTGTCTGTCTATCTGCCTGTCTATCTGCCTGTCAGTCTGTCCGTGTCTCGGACGTTTCACTTCCGTCGCGTCGGCGCCTGTTCAACGTTTCGTCGGGCACTGCTCTGTCTGTCCACACAGCACCACCATCGTCACACGCTCTCACGCGCTCCGACGCGACGACGGCGCTAACCGTTAGTCGGTTGTTCCCTTCCCCGTTCACGCCCCACCTTGTGTCGATGAAATGACGCCCAGTCCCGGTGAGAGTGTCGTAGTACACGCTGCAACCCAGCCGCGGCATCCCTTCCTATCGGGCAGACAAGTTGAGCGACGATTTGTGGCGGTGTTTGGACTCGAAACGCTTGGCGGTAGAGCAGCAGGCACGTGGCGCGGGCGCGGAGTCACACGCAGCGCGTCGTCGGTCATCATCATTCCGCGAGAGAAAGGTGGGTGTGGGGCGTATACTTTCCGTGGTGGGGGGCACTACGATGCGTCACGCAAGATACCGCACCCCGCTTTTCCACGGTTATGGTAGCTCGATTTCGCCGCATCAATGGGGGTAGCAGGATCCACCGATACGTCGCTGCAAAGTTTTCCGTGAGGCCGTTACAATTCGCGCTCTCCTTTCTGTGAAGGACATCATCGGCCCGGGGGGTGTCGTATCTCGTGTGTTCATACGGGCTGAGGAAAAAATGGCAAAACAAAGATATTCTCGCGTGTCCCTGAGGATCGAGTTCTTGCCCCGACGTGCAGCCTATGTAGACGCGTAGAGCGGGTGAGATGCGGTGATCGCTGTCAGCTATGTAATTCCTCGCACGAGTCGGTTCAAATCCTACGACGAACAATCGAGTTTCAGCTCCCTGAACTCAACGCCTGGTGCCTCTCATAAAAAAAAAAAAGAAGCCAACAACAGAAAAGCGCAGCGGCATCGCACCACGAAATGCCATCAACCGGTACCATCCCATTTACCCACCCCAAAAAAAAACGCTAGCACACCTGCCCCGCGATCGCGTACGCCCCGACCAGGCTCCCCGCCGACGACCCGTACACGGCATCGAACGTGTCCATGAGTCCCAGCGTCGACACCGCGGCGATCATGCCGGCCGACACGCAGCCCCGCATACCCCCGCCCTCGATGGCCAGCCCGACCTGGGTGGGGGGCCGCGAGAAAGAGACGGCCGAGGGATCCAGACGCGGCGGAACAAAAGAAGCTACCATATGTTTGTAGGTTCTCCTGGCGTCCTTGACCAGACGCGATATCAACTGGCTTTGCGTACGTAGGGGAGTGAAAGGTCTAGAGAGTCAAACTGTCATGGTGGCGCGGGCGTGGAAGTGGAGCTGTGTTCGTTTACTGTGTTTCCGGGTACGCAAGAATGGTTGGTGCGCGCCGCCCGTGGGCGTAGTCTAGGGCTACGGCGTGACGGAGGTGACGGAAGCAGCCGTGGCAATTTCACCAAGGCCGAAAGACGGGCCTACTTGTGCACGCAGCGAAATCGTGCATAAAACTTGAGAGAAAATGGTAATCTGCGCTTTTAGAAAAGAGACCACGTATGGATGACTTTGACTAACTTGTCGGGCAGGCCGGGGCCGGGGCGCCATACGTTTGTCCCCTGCGCGCCTCTTGTACTACACGAAAGATCGTACATGCAGGAGGGCATTCCGATGGACCAACTGAAACACCCTCGGAGGGGCAGAAAATGGAAACGGCACGCAGCCGTACCTGCCGCATGCACCTAACCACGCCCCCCCACACTCTCCCTTAGATAGCGCTACTGCTGTCGCTCGGTCCCGATTTCGATTGCCCACAGGCGAGCGGAAAATCCGGGGGAGAAGGGACCTGTCTCCGCCTAAAGAACATTCGTTTTTACAAGTAAGAGCTTCGGTACCTTGGCACTGGCCATCTCCTCCGACTGCTGTTGCTGGGACACCAGTCAACAACACACGTTGTACGGGAACAGGACCGCACGACCTCACACAGCGAGCGCTCGTGGGCGACGATGGGCTGA